CCTCCTTTCCTCCCTTCCCTTCCCTTCCCTTCCCTTCCCTTCCCTTTTCTTCCTTCCTTCCTTCCTTTTCCCAGGTCTGGGGAGCCTTTGCGGTGCAGCCCAAACACACCAACGTCTCCGGGACCTGCTCCAACAAGACGGCCACCTTGAAACTACAATTCCCAGAGGGCTTCATTCTCTTCACTTTCCAAAAGGTGCAGCGGGGGTGTCGGGGTGGTGGGAAGGACGGGGGTGGGCGAGGGGAGCGGCATTCATTTCAGGAAACACCCCCTCTCCCCCGGGGGGCAAAGGTTCGGCCCACGCACGGAGGTTAAGGGGGCTTTAAAGAGTGCGGAATTACAGGCTTGGGAGAGACCGTAGAGGTCTTCTAGTCCAACCCCCCTGCTCCAACAAGACAGCCTGAGAGAATCACAGAGTTAGAAGGGGTAAAATTTATCCGTGTAGGTTGAACGCACCATAACTTATGTATTAAACTTACATTGGGGTGTAACTTACGAGGGCGATATTAACAAGGTTTGTTTCTGGTGTGTATGAATGGAGTATTTTCGAACGTTCTGCCAGTTATGTTTTCCTGGCCGGCGGGTCTCTTTGAAAACATAGTAATTTGCCTGCAATATTCTCCGGTCGGCCACCCCGGCTCCCCAGCCGTGACTCACTGGGCACTTCCCAGCTGGGACCCTCCCCCCCTCCCTCCCCTTCTGGTCAGACTGGGCTGACTCACTGGTCCTGACTGGGAGAGGCTCGAAATCTGGTCAGCTCTGGCGGCATCACATGCCGAGGAAAATAAACTTTTTTTTTTTCTTTCTTTCTTTCTTCTTCTCAAGCTTGGCAGCTTGGGACTACAACTCCCAGAGCCCCCAGCCAGGAAGTCGGAAAGATGTCCAGCTTGAGAGGGGTTGCCCCGGGGCGGGGGGGGGGAGAAGGGGGGGGGCACAAGGAATAAATTTTGGGAGGGGGAGTTTGGTCTCTGCCACCACCACCCTACTTTCTAGGGCAGCGGTCGCCAATCGGTGGGCTGCGGCCTGCTGGTGGGCCGGGAGAAAATTTTGGTGGTCCGCAGAGAAATATCACCCCCAGAGCTCGCCCCCCCCCAAAGCAATTAATCCAGGCTGCGTAGAAACACAAGGCTGCGCCGCCTATATGGCCCGCGGGAACCCTCTCCGCCCACTCACTCCTTACCCAGTAAACTTTTCTGCTAAATTGCTGTTTTTGCTTTCTCCGACCATCGGCTGTTCTGCTGTGCCAGGAGATTTAGAATTAGCTAAGAAGCAGGAAACGGTTGGATTTCTTGCTTTCTAGCTCGTCTTTCGATCTTCGGTTCTGCTTTTAAGCACGGCCGAACCTCCTTTAGGACTGAAGGTTCTGTTATTCCTTGCAGACTCACGGAAAGCAAATTTTATGTGACAAACTGAGCTAGCCGACGGCAGATAGATAGATCTCTGAATGTGATTCTGTGAGTAACTCAATCTGCCTGCTGATTTTTGGGTAAAAGTTGCTCTTTTCTATAAAAAAATATATATCAATATTTATATAAATACACTGCTCAAAAAAATAGAGGGAACACAAAAATAAGACATCCTAGATCTGAATGAATGAAATATTCTTGTTAAATACTTTGTTCATTACATAGTTGAATGTGCTGACAACAAAATCACACAAAAATTCTCAATGGGAATCAAATGTAGCAACCCATGGAGGTCTGGATGTGGAGGTACAGTCAAAATTAAAGTGGAAAAAACCACTACAGGCTGATCCAACTTTGATGTAATGTCCTTAAAGCAAGTCAAAATGAGGCTCAGTAGTGTGTGTGGCCTCCACGTGCCTGTATGACCTCCCTACAACGCCTGGGCATGCTCCTGATGAGGTGGCGGGTGGTCTCCTGAGGGATCTCCTCCCACACCTGGACTAAAGCATCCCCCAACTCCTGGACAGTCTGTGGTGCAACGTGGCATTTGTGGATGGAGCGAGACATGATGTCCCAGATGTGCTCAATTGGATTCAGGTCTGGGGAACGGGTGGGCCAGTCCATAGCATCCATGCCTTCGTCTTGCAGGAACTGCTGACACACTCCAGCCACATGAGGTCTAGCATTGTCCTGCATTAGGAGGAACCCAGGGCCAACTGCATCAGCATATGGTCTCACAAGGGGTCTGAGGATCTCATCTCGGTACCTAATGGCAGTCAGGCTACCTCTGGCGAGCACATGGAGGGCTGTGCGGCCCCCTAAAGAAATGCCACCCCACACCATTACTGACCCACTGCCAAACCAGTCGTGCTGGAGGATGTTGCAGGCAGCAGAACGTTCTCCACGGCGTCTCCAGGCCCTGTCACGTCTGTCACATGTGCTCAGGGTGAACCTGCTTTCATCTGTGAAGAGCACAGGGCGCCAGTGGCGAAGTTGCCAATCTTGCTGTTCTCTGGCAAATGCCAAACATCCTGCACAGTGTTGGGCTGTAAGCGCAACCCCCACCTGTGGACGTCGGGCCCTCATACCACCCTCACGGAGTCTGTTTCTGACCGTTTGAGCAGCCACATGCACATTTGTGGCCTGCTGGAGGTCATTTTGCAGGGCTCTGGCAGTGCTCTGCTTTCCACCTGTTGTCTATTCCATTTGCACAACAGCTTGTGACACGGATTGTCAATCAGGGTTGCTACCTAAGTGGACAGTTTGATTTCACAGAAGTGCGATTGACTCCGAGTTACATTGTGTTGCTTAAGCGTTCCCTTTATGTTTTTGAGCAGTATATTTATAATGTCTACATACACGCCATGCCCAGCCAGTCACATGACCACCAAGCCACACCCACAAATTAGGCCACGCCCACAGAACCGGTTAGTGGTCCCTGGGATTTAAAATTACGAGTTGGGTGGTCCCTGAGGTCCAAAAGGCTGTTCTAGGGGAAGGAAACAAAAGCCAATTTTCTCCCTCTCTTTTCTCAGAACGAAACGGAGAAGTTAGCCTACCTGAGCCAGGTGCAAGCCAATCTCACCTACCAGTTCCCCCAGGCGACAGGTGAGCAGTGTGGGGGGAGGGCTTGGGGGGATGGATTCAGGGTGGGCTTCGAAAATTCTAGCAAAGGGTTCTCGGGTCGGCCACCTGCACCACGGCGGCTGGAAGGGGAGCGTTTTTGCCTTTCCCAGGCTCCGGAGGCTTTCCTTGGGCCTCTGGGAAGCCGGAAACAGACATCCCAGACTCCCGAGGCTCTCCGAAGGCTGGAAACGGTTGCCAACAGAAAAGGGCGGTGGGGAGAGAGAAAGAGCGGCGCGGCGGCTTGGAAACCAAAAGCGCATTCCATCCAGAGGTTGTTTTTTTTTTCTCAAAGAAAGTTTCTAGGCGGCCCAAAGTTTCCACCAATGCAAAATTCTAATAGGAGAATATGATGGAGGACTCTGGGCTACGGAGGTGTCCCATTGGAGTATATGGATTAGGATATATCCAGGAGGGTGTGGGAGAGAAAACCAGGGTTAAGGGGGACAAGGAATGATGTATCTCAGAGTCGGCTGCACCCAGGCGCATGCTGGGCATCTTCACTCCCCATAAATCTTCTTTTTAAGCTTGGAAAATCTGGCTAGAGACTCGTGATTTAAATCGGGGGTGGGGGGAAGGGATGTAACTACCAGCGTCCTGGATTTATTTTTGTCCATTCTCCTGCCCCGATACCCAACGTGGGGGCCCTTCCCCCCACGGTTTTGTCTCCGCAGAAGCGACCACCTTCAGGGCCAACAACGCCTCCCTCCGGGAGTTCGCAGCCCCCCTGGGCAAATGCTACCAGTGCCGTAACCGCAGCCTGGGCCTGAGTGAGACTTTCCGGCTGACGGCGCTAAGCGAGCGCATCCAGGCCTTTCAGCTGCAGGACGGGAAGTTCGGGGAAGGTAAGCGGCTGCCTCTCGGCAGGGCGGGGAAAGGATCCTTCCCAGCTCCCGTCTCATGGAACGGAGGCATAGGGTGGGGGTCTCCAACCTTGGCCCCTTTAAGACGGGTGGACTTCAACTCCCAGAATTCCCCAGTAGGGTAACTTTTTTAGTAGACAGTGGGAATGCAGTTTAGCTGCAACAAACACTGACTTCGGCAAAGTGAAGAAACAACCCCTGCTGGTTGTGGGAGTCTAGAGACCCCTGCCACAGAACAGAGCACGACAGGAAGGGAAGGGGACCCTTGGAGGTCTTCTAGTCTAACCCCGTGCCCTTCTCCCGCCTTTCTTTACCCCAATTTTTTTTGGGGGGGGGGTTCACGACTGCCAAGGAAGGACCCATTCTTGCCCCCTTCCAGTATTATTCCTCAACTAGAGGACCAACCAGCCCCCTCCCCCTTTCTCCCCATGACCCGAAATGCCTCGCTCCGCCCAAGCCTCACTTCCCTCCTCCTGCCCTTCCAGCGGAGCTCTGTCCCGAGCAGCAGAAGCGCTCCATCGTCTTCCCCATCGTGGTGGGCGTGGTGCTCGGCCTCCTCATCCTCATCGTCCTCGTGGCCTTCGCCGTGGGGCGGTGGCGAGGCCGTACCGGCTACGAGTCCCTCTAAGACCTCGCCCCCCCCCCCCTTTCCGCGAGACGCAGCTGGACCAGCCGACGGGAGACCTGGTCTTTTGACACCGACGGACGGAAACGGATGAGAGGGGGGTAAAAAATGCCAGCCGCTAATCCCCTACCCTTCCTTGGACTGCCATTTTGAGGACTGCACGCTTTTTGGGGGGGGGGGGGATTAGCTTTTTATTTTTATTTTAAAGAACATATTCTTGCTTATGCGGGGTGGGCAGGAGGAGAGAATGAGAAGCAGGGGTGTTAAAGAATCACAGGTGGCCATACAGGTAGGCCTCGGCTTACAACAGTTCACTTAGCGGCCAAGGTCTGCAAAGAGCACTTTAACAAAAAGTGACGTCAACTCGTAACGTTATTTGTAGGGTCTTCTGAATGGCCAACCGAAAGGGAGGGAAGGGGGGTGGGTGGGGAGCAGTGGGGCAGCTTGGAAACCGAAAGCGCGTTCCATCAACGGCTTTTTCAAAGATAGCAACTTAGGGGACTAAAGTTTCTGCCCCCGAGCAAAGAATCTAATTGGAGAACATGAGGGATGACTCTGGGCTAGGGAGGTGTCCCATTGGAGGATATGATTTATGACACAGGGTGACCGCAGGGTCTCAGAGTCGGCTGCACCCAGGCAGTGCCAGTATGTTAACTCCCAATAAATCCTTTCTCGAAGTTTGGCTCACAGACTCATGATTTAAATGGGGTTAAGGGCCTGGGAATTGCTAAACAATAGCGGCGATTCCATTAACAACGGGGGGGGGGGTGAAAGGTTGTAAAAATGAGACCAGCTTCCCTGACCTGAACACCCGTCTCGCTTAGCAGTGGGAATGTTTTCCTCCCGGGAGGGAAAACTGGTGAAAAGGGATAATGTGTGGTGCTTCGCCGGCAGCCGTTGCGGACGGCTGAGGCCTCGCGGAGAGCGAGGAGACAGATGAGAGGCCTGCAGGTGAGGCGGGGATGGGGCCAGGCCCATCAGGGAGTGGGGTGCTGCCTTCGGAGGCTGGCAGCAGTGAGGAAGGGAGTGCCCAGGGCTCCTCGAAGCAAAGAGCACGGGCGACTCGGGAGTAAGGCTGCAAGGTGATGGCCCGTCCCTCAAGGGATAAAAGCCAGCCTGAGAAACCGGAGTCCTTTGCAGGAAGCAAAGATAAGTTCTTGCCCTTCAAGCCTTGTGGAAGTTCGGAATATCTGAGTTGGTGTTTGGAGACTCTTCGATTTATTGCTGAGGGACTTTATCTGGTGTTCTTGGCAACCTTAGTTGGAAGCAGCCTTTTATCTGTGAAGGAACGGGATTCGCAAAGAATCCTGAAAAGGTTTTGCTGTTACCTCTGCCTCGTGTTGGTTTCCTTGGAACAAGGAAAAATAATAATAATAATAATAATAATAATAATAATAATAATAATAATAATAATAATAATAATAATAATAATAATAATAGAAGTAAAATAATAATGATAAAGAGGAATGAGCAGTTGGAAGGGGACAGTCGTTGTCATGCCCCTGGTGGAGACTGACTCTGAGGGAGAAGAGGAACAACCGACAGGGAGTGGAAGTGGGGCTGTCCAGGGGTTGAGGAAGAGGCTGGGGAAGGGCAGAGGCCGGCTGGGCAGTCAGAGGGGGACCCAGGCCCATTCCCTATTATTCCTAGGGCACGCAGGGAGGAGAGGAGAAAGGAGAAACGTGAACGGCATGGTCTACAGGGGAGGAAAGGGCCTTGATCCCCTTCATGGGCTGCAGCTGTGTGACAACTGAGTAAGAGTTTGGACCTGCGTATTGGCGAGCGCTGGAAACAAGGCGTGCAAATATCTCTAGTTTATGGTTCCTCTCTGAGTTTGGCGTCCTTCCCAGTGTGTGTTATCTGTGGACGTCCTCCAGCCCTTATCTTGCCTGGTTTGTGTTGCTTTTTTCCCCTCCTTCTTGTAATTGTTTGGGGGGGGGGGGGTTTGTCTTCCATCAAAGATATCCGGAGCTGAGAAGCAGACTGAAGGAATAAAAGGGGCTTCACCTGTTTTCTGTGACTGTGTGTTTGTTTTGTATCCCACCCTGGGTCATCACAGTCGTGAGCGGGCTTGCCTGCCTCCCAGGTTTCCACGCAGCTGACCGGGGGATATTTTCAAATTCGACGTCAGGTGGGTGCAGTTCTCTCCGGAGTAAAGAGTAAGGAACCTTGTAGTTGGGAAGGAGGGAAGGGAGGGTTTGCTTTGACCCATGAGAATAAAATCTGCACTTTCCCACTCTGTGCCCAGCAAATCAGGTCATTACGGGACCTGGGCGTCTCTTTTAATGTCCTGCCTTTATTTTCATTTTTTCATTAGCGTTTCACGTCTTTTGTTTCCTGCCTCGGGAGGGTCTCTTCCGCAACAGCGGCCGCTAAACAAGTGGCTGGAAGTCAAGGACCAGCTGGATGGGCTCAGAGCCCTCTGTATTACATTTTCTGTTCGTCGTAAAGTTTCGTTTCCGAGACCTTCGGCCGAGTTCCTGTTTTGTGTGCTCTGGCGGAGAGAGTCCCCTCCCCACCACATGTGTCTGGACTGCTTGCGCTTTGGCAACCACACTGGTGTGTGTGTGTGTGTGTGTGAAGATATTTCTACCACTTCCTGGTCCCCACACTCAGCTCCACTGAAAGACTGAAAGGGGGGGGCGGGGGGGGCATTGCACACTGCAGAAAAGTTGAGACACATCCCGAGCAAAAGCCCTGAGGTTTATTTTGTGTGTGTGTGTGTTCTTCCCTTCTTCCCAGATAAACCTGGGGAGGACCCCTTTCAAGGGGAGAGGGTCTTACACTTACACACACGCACACCAGTTCACGTTGCGCAACCCGGAATCCATTTTTAGGAGCTGCGGAGGCTGCGTCAGTCCCAAGGATAACAAAATAAAGAGTTGGAAGGGACGTTGGGAGGATGGGAATCTTCTAGTCCAGAGGTCGCCAACCGGTGGGTCGGGGACCACTGGGGGTCCGTGAGAAAATTTGGGTGGTCCGCAGAGAAATGTCACCCCCCACCCCAAAAGCAATTAATCCAGGCGGCATGGGAACACAAGGCTTGCATCACGCACAACACGAGGCAGTGAGGAGAGGGGGAATAGGGTGGAGTGGGGGAACTTGCCCCACGTGCCTGGCCTGGCCTGGCCACCGGCTGCTTCTCTCTGCTTCTTTCTACTTCTGCTTTTGATTTGCACGCAAGGAAAGCAGCCAAAGTCTTTCTTTCTCTCCCCCAAACTCCACCAGAAATGAGTCTTTGGGACCCTGCAAGTCCTCCTGCTCCAAGAGGTTGCGCCGGCATGACACGTCTCATTTCTGGTGGTGTTTGGAGGGGAGAAAAAGAAAGACTTCTGCGGCTTCTGTTGTTTTCTTTGCACGCAGCCAAAAGTCTCTCCTTTCTTTCTCTCTTCCTGAGAAAAGAGCTGGAGACGGTATCCTGCGATCCCAAATAAAGAACGATCGATCGGTAGGAAAACAGGGTGGGGGATTTTCCTGCAGACTTTTGGGGGGTGGGATTTTCCCAGGCTCTCCGGTCCGCGGGATTTAAAATGATGAGTTGGGTGGTCCCTGAGGTCCAAAAGGTTGGCGACCCCTGGTCTAGTCCAACCCCTTGCTTGGGCAGGAAAGCCCTAGATCGGTCCAGACAAAGGGGCTCAAGTAGACTTGACAACTTCTGGGAGCTGAAGTCCAGAAGTCTTAAAAAGTTGCAAAATTGGGAAACTCTGCATATCATCCCAGACAAAATGGCCGTCCAATCTCTTCTTAAAAACTTCCAGCCTTGGAGCTCCCACAACTTTCGGTGGCAAGCAGTTCCACAGGTGAATTGTTCTCGCTGTCAGGAAGTCTCTCCTTAGTTCTAAGTTGCACCTCTCCTTGATCAGTTTCCATCCGTTGCTTCTTGTCCTGCCTTTGGGGGCTTTGGAGAATACCGATAGTCCTCAACTTACAACAGTTCATGAGTGACCGTTGAAATGGCCCTGAAAATGTGGCTCAGGAGCATTTGTCACATTTCCGTGGTCACGTCATCAAAATTCAGACACTGGATGGCGACTGAGCCACACTTAAGACGATTGCAAACGTCCCAGGGTCGTGTTTTTTGCAACCTTCTGACAAGTAAAGCCAGTGGGGGAAACCAGATTCATTTAACGACCGTGTTACAAACCTAACAACTGCAGGGATTCACTTAAGCACTGTGGCAAGAAAGGTCGTAAAACAAGGCCAGATTCACTTCTGAGTTCGCAGCGGAAATTTGGGGCTCAGGATTACTTGTAATAGGATGAGCCCCTTTTTACTCTTTTGCCTCTCCCTGCGACCCCTCCCTCCCCTTCAGCCCCCCCCCCCACTCCCACTCAGAGCCCCCTCAGCCCCGAAGCCAGGGCATCTCGGATCTCTACCGCTTCAGCATCCTCTTCCTCCCCTTCCTCCCCAGGCTGCTCCTCCCGCGGCTCATCCTCCTCTTCCTCCATCCAGCAGGCCTGGAAGGCGTCTCCGCGGGCCTCGCAGATGTTGTGCAGGGTGCAGCAGGCGGCGATGAGGGTGGGCAAGAAGGAGACGTCGGTGTCGTTCCGCTTGGTCAAGCAACGCCAGCGTCCACGCAGGCGCCCGAAGGCCACCGCCAGCACCGTCCGGGCGGCGTCGGCATACTCGTTGAAGCGTTGCTGGCTGGCGCTCAGAGCCGCAGCCCTGTAGGGTCGCATCAGCCAAGGCAGGAACGGGTACGAGCAGCCGCCCAGCAGATAGATGGGCACCTGCACCCCGCTGACATCTCGAGACCCTCCGGGGAAGAGTTCACCCCGCTGAGCTTGCTGGTAGAGGTCGGAGGCGCCCAGCACTTGGGTGTCCGTCACTCGTCCTGGGCACCCGACGTTGATATCCCAGAAGCAGCCGCGGGAGTCCACGGCGGCCTGCACCACCACCGAGTGCCACCCGCGGCGGTTGTAGTAGCCCGCAGCGTTCTCGTTGGGGGCCCGGATGGGCACATGTAGGGAGCCCAGCACCCCGGCCAACTGGGGCAGGGGGAATCCGTTGCTGGCGGCCACTTGGGCCGGGTCAGGCGGGCGGACGTAGAGCGGGGTGAGGATTCCCACCACGGCCTCGCAGACGTCGCGCAGGATCTTG